TTTTAGACCTGTCAGCTCCGGTGGGACTTGGCTGCTTCCGGTCCATTTCAACATCCCCCTCTTTATCCCTGATGTCAGGCTCATCTCCAGAGAGGCAAAGCGTGATGTTTTCTTCATCATTCTCCTCACTCCTAGGCTCACTTTTAATTTGCCCTACAGGAAGCTCTGGCTTGAGGCTATCGCCAGAACTTTCTTCACTGAATGTGCTTGCGAAACCTGAGGTACTAATGTGTGATGCGTTGTAGACATTCTTGGTACAAGCCATCTGGTATTTCTTATATCTGGGTAACCGCGTCACTGCTTCTTTGTCCAAACTGTCCTTGCCATCGTTCAAGATATCAGAGTCGGGTAGCATCCCTTCTTCCTTGTCCGCTCCCGAACTGGCCGATTCAAAGTTAAAGGGCTCTGGGTGCGTTCTCTCCCTTGGGCAAGAGATCTTGGAAGTCTCCGACTCCATTGTCTCCTCCTCTTCTCCCTCGGAGTTCTCGTCTTCATGCATCCGCTGGTAGGTGGTGTCTTTTTTGCACAGAAACAGGCCATCTTCATTGTTCAGGAGTTGCGTTTGAAGGAAGCTGAAGCAAGAATCCTCCAGGTTGTGCATGCGCAGGAACTCTGCACAGTGGATGACCTCTCGTATGTTTTCTCTGCTGAGTAACAGCTTAGCAGTGTAGGCAAACTGTAACAATGGGCCAAATCCCCTGGCAGTGACCTGCAAAAGAACAAAAACACAGGGAAATTGCCAGCATTACCATCAGCACTGCTATTGTCCCAAGCCCCTCAAGTGTAGTTAGATAACTCAACAGTTCTAATGTCCATAAATACCACCGTCCAATAGTTAATCTTTCCTTAAGTCAGCAGTAATGCTACTTCCAATCATTAATGCTGCCTGCCCTGTTGCTGCTTGCACACTTCATATTAGAGGATGATCTAAACATCACTTCCAACAAATGACTTAAAGAGAGATGAGATATGTGGCAAATGGTATTTATATGTTTAACGAACTAAAGAATGCTGCTAAGTTTCCAATGAGTGCACGAATCCCACCAATTTCACAACATTCCCATAATCTAGGCTGACTTCACTTTGTGATCAGAATAAATTATGCCAATTACAAAATCCTTTATTCTTCTTCAACAGTTTATCGGGTTTTCAAAGAAATGGAATATATTATTATAATGGTTAGTTTAGTGAAAACAAAGTTCCCTATGCTGGAACAACCTAAGTATTAAATGGTACTAATAAAAAGTTGGAGAAGGGCATGGGGTTTGTCTGAGTATGCAATAGAAGTGGGAAGACAGAGAACATTAAGCATGGAGACAACTTGAATAATTGTATAGGAAACTATCCCACAAATGCTGGAGTCTCTGGTTGAGTTCAGATAAGGATTTAGTTAAACACTTATATTACATCATGGTTTCTCTAACAACATAGGGAAGCCAGCTATAGCCTCCCAATACACAGTGAAATACAAAGTTAACATGCACCTGCTTCCCCAGATTTCAGCACCACTGTGAAGAAGTAATAATTCTAGCCTTAACCATGTAGTTGATTGAATTCACTCTCAGATAGATTTATGGTCTACAAGTGCTCTGGTGCATGGGGTTCCTTCACCTAAATAAATTTGACTATGTCAAAATTAGGGGTGTATAAGGAGATGATGATGATAAGGTTTCTATCTTTGAACTGTGCTCCCCCTTCCCTAAAACAACTTGGGAACTATCTCTGCTGTGAGCCTGGCAGGAGGAAAATGTGATGATACGTAATAATGATGCTTCTGAAATAGGTTCCTGCATTGCAATTCGGTTGGACCCCATTGCAGTTGGGGTCCCTTCCAACTCTATGATTCTATGGAGTGACTGGCTAGCCAGAGCAGCCCCCTCAGATCAGGGCTGGCTCAGGACGTTTTGCTGTATGAGGCAAAAGATAAATGGCACCGTCCCCGAAGGCACATACATAAGCCAATTGGAACTGGTGGTAGAATCTTACTGCAGTACTGATGAAAGGACAGTGTATTCAACTGAAGTTGAGGGCAGCAGGCTATCATAGGGGTCATGGCACTCACAGCTCCCTGCGCCTCAGCTTCTGCCGCTTGAAGCAGCTGCCTCACTGTGCCTCAGCTTAGGGCTGGCTCTGCCTCAGATAATATATGTATTCTATGAACAATTTGTAAAACTCAGATATTAAAAATGCCACTTGGGTCTTCAGCACGACTATTTGCACTAATAACAGTCCAAACCAAAGCAAGCACTTAATAGCCTGTGTACACTAGTCCACTTTGTGATTTCACTTGCTTCTAATTAAGGTATTTGCTTACTGTCTAAGTCTGGCTTTAGTCAAAGTCTGTGTGTGTGTGTGTGTGTGTGTGTGTGTGTGTGTGATATATATATATATATATATATATATATATATATATATATGAATGACCTGGGTGGCGCTGTGGTCTAAGCCACTGAGCCTAGGGCTTTCCGATCAAAAGGTCGGCGGTTCAAATCCGCACAACAGAGTGAGCTCCCGTTGCTCTGTCCCAGCTTCTGCCAACCTAGCACTTTGAAAGCACACTAGTGCAAGCAAATAAATAAGTACCGCTGCAGCAGGAAGGTAAACAGCATTTCCGTGTGCTCTGGCTTCCGTCACGGTGTTCCGTTGTGCCCAAAGCGGCTGGCCACATGACCTGGAAAGCTATCTGTAGACAAATGCCAGCTCCCTTGGCCTGAAGCAAGATGAGCACCACAACCCAACCCCATAGTCACCTTTGTATGTGTGTGTGTATATATATACATATGCATATACGTATACGTATACATATACATATACAATCTGTAGTTATCTAATGCAGCCACTAGGTGGGAGAACTGTAAAACAAGTAGAGTCTTGCCTAAGAGCTTCCAAGTATGTTTTAACCAGTACCTCTTGCAATGCCATTTAGGCAAAATAAAAGAAATTTCACTGACTCAGAACATTCCACGGTACATTTTTCTTTCAAGCTGATTCAAGACTTTCAGCACCCCAAAAGCATGGCATTTGAGACATCTGCTACATGTGTCTTCCTCCAGAGGATATTGCATGCAGTATTGTGATGTTGTTCACATTGCATCCTAGACAGCTGCTTGCTCTTAAAAACAAAGGGCAAAAAAATCCAGGAGGGGGGAAGCAGGGAGGTAAGAGGACTGAATCAGTGTGGCGTGTTTGTATCTACAAAAATCCTGTATCAGTAACAACACAGCACCAATTTACAAGAGGCACTGGGTAGTAACGCTGTATTTTGAAGTACTGCAGCAGGCGTCTCTGCAAATTTAAAAGATGCCCTCAGGGAAGACTCTTAGAAGCATTTCAGACCAGCACTAATGTTTCAAGTACATAAACAGCAACTTTCATGATGAATGCAAGCAAGGCTTGCTGGCAAGTGTGGAAGCTGGCAGAATCTCAGTAGCCTGAAGCTGTCTAAATATTGATTTGGCCTTTATTGTGGGTCCACCAGCACACTGCCTTTGGAACTGCTTGTATTTAATTTGCTGTGACAAGAAAGCAGATATTCAGAGACTGCAAAGTGCTTATAAATATTGCACATTTTAAAGAGGAAGGTTTAAAAGCTGCATACATTACATCCAAACACTTGTTTTCTGTATATGATGGTAAGGGCTCTTCATGGTGCAAACCCCTTCCACCATTTCTGGGAGAAACTTAAGTATGCTACAATGACAGCATAACAAAGAGAATACACAATGGGATGCAACATATTTCTGCAGCAACAATGATGAGAGTAAAATAGCAGTTTTTAAAAAATTAATAACCAAGGGGTGCCAAATGATTAAGATATTCCATACGTACAACAGAGCAGCTTTCAACTCAGACCCAAATGTTAACCTGTCAACTCAGCCCTAAAAATGTCCACATAAAACGGGTGTGTCAGAAAGTATGTCACTAGTCTCCTTAGTTGCATTTCTTTACTGAATACCCACTTTGGCTGCAACAACCTCAATTCCTAGGAGCTTGTGTGCGGGTTTGTGTAAGCTCTATGCTCATCAAAATGGCCATGCAGAGGATGTTTTGCCCAAGAATGCACATTTCAGTTCAGCTGCAATCCAGACAAACAACCCCTCCTTCCTTTTTAGTGGCTTAGATTAGTCTGCAACCTTGTGTGAACTTGCATACTTAGCTGTGCAGTACAGAGAATGTTGGATTTCTACATGAGAGATCAAAGTTCAAATCCCTACTCGATTGCTCGGTCATTTGCTGAGTCTCTGCTACCTTGCAGGACAGCTGGGGAAGTTAGAATGAAATAAGGACATAGCATATTTCGCCATTAGAGATACCACCATAGTTCATACTACTTGGCTCAGAAAGTAACTCTTTAACTCAAAATGCTTGCAGTAAACATAAGAAAAGCCTTCCAAGCAACGACATCTCTCTCCACTCAGATTTTGAACTAAGCCAGAGAAAAACTCAACTCCTTTCCCGCTGTCTCTCACATAAGACACCAAAACCTTCTGCCCCGTTCCCTCCCCCCTCCCCGGAAACCCTCTCTTCCTCCCTCCCACTTCTTTGCCTGGCTGCTTCCAGAAGAAGAGGAGGTGTCTCCATCTTCCTTTTGCTTTTGAAGCGCTGCCCTGGAAGCTAAAAGGCCTGGGTGATGTAATTTCCCCCAGAGCTACTGACATCCACAGCAGTAGTTAGGTGAGGGTTTAGAGGCTAAAAGGTGGCTGGGAGATGAGACCTTTTTGCACACCTGATAATCTCGTCACAGTGAAATGAGATCCAGTTTGAGTAATCATTTGTCTTGGGATCAACAGATTCCAAAATGAAAGGTAGGGATCTGCTCAGCACTACCTGCCACAAGCCCTTTGAAACAATCTAATTAACAATAAATAACACGAGAGTGCTGAAGGGAGGTTTTGGTTCTCAACATTTGATTCTTGGCATTTATAGTTTCATTGTTTTCAAATCATAGAATTGTAGAGGTGGAAGGGACCACGAGAGTCATCTTGTACAACCCCCTACACTTTTGCCCAACGTGGGGCTTGAACCCACAACCCTGAAATTAAGAGTCTCATGATTTGCCAAATGGGCTATCTGAAAATCTTTGGAGTGGTGATGAAAGAAAATGAAACTTCCCCAGAAGTAGACCAAACACATAACATTTTAGCAACTGTGTTCATCAGTGAGTGTCTTCTGTAGCAACTTTTAAATGCCTGTTGAAAACCTTTCTATTCTGTAGGTATGTAGATACAAAAATTTAATAGAACAAAAGACACCATGCTGGTTGTCACCACAGAAGTAATATCTCTCAAAAAGATAAATATGAGGACAAGTTGGCCAACATATAGAGAGCTCCTAATCAAAGTGGAAAATCAATTAAAATTAAGAAAATTTGAAGAAATAAGAGAAAAGATAACAGATTGGTTACAATATTTTCAATTAAATGTGATTTTTAAGGAGGATAAAAGACAGGACTTAGTTATACAATATTCAGATTTCAAAAATAAATTGTAGAGGACAATACCAAATTGTTGAAGAAAATGTGTAGCTTGCTGCTACAATGGGAAAACAAAGGATGAAGAGGTTAAATGTGTGATGATAAAGTGGGCAAAAGATCTGGGACATAATATTCAAATGAGTGACTGGGAAAAACTTTGGAAGGGGGATTTGAAGTTCACTGCATGCACAACACTGAAAAAGAACTATATGAAAATGATGTACCATTGGTACATAATACCGGCAAAACTTGCCAAAATGTATAGAACAAGTTCTAATAAGTGTTGGAAATGTAAAGAAAAAAGGGTACCTTTTATCACATGTGGTGGGAATGTAAAATGGTTAAAGTTATTGGGAAGTGATATATAACGAATTGAAGAAAAGTTTAAATTGACTTTTATTAAAAAACCAAAAGCATTCTTATTAGGAATAACAGGAAGCCAAATCCTGAAGGAAAAGAAGAAATTGTTTATGTATGCAACAGCAGCAGCCCGGATTCTATTAGCCCAAAGGTGGAAGGAAGACATGATACCAACAATAGAAGAATGGCAACTGAAATTGATGGACTATGCTGAAATGGCTAAACTCACAGAAAAGGAAATGGAAGGAAGTCAGGAGGTTAAAGAGAACCTCCAAAAAGAAAGAGATGATGTTTATACAATGAAAAAAGTGTTAATGTCTTATGTTTCTGTCTAAATCTTTTTTTGTTATGTGTTTCTTATGAAGAATAATTGTTGAAGATAAAATTGTAAAATCAATAAAAACTTATTTACAAAAAACAAAAACAAAAAAACCCCTTTCTATTCTGCCAGGCCTATTGCTGGCAACTAAGAGTATTTTGTTTTTACTATTTTTTTTTGTTGGGAACTGCCAAGAGTGGCTGGGACAACCCAGTTAGTTGGGAGGAATACACATCGTAAATAAAATCATCATCTCATCATCCCTCACAATGGTCCATTGATGACCATTGATGTCCATTAATTTATTTTTGTTTTTTACTTGTTTGTAACTTTTTATAATTTTATTGTTTGGTTTTATGTTTTCATATTGTTTTAAACCACTGTGACATATTTTCGGGATACAGCAATATAGATTTTTTAATAAAATAAATAAATACAGCCCCCCCTTTCCTACACTTGTTTCTTTCAGTCAATAAAGTGCTTCTGGGAAATGCTCCTAAGCTCCTCCATTCTCCTGAGAGGGGCCTGATTCAGCCTGGAGCTGGTGTAATGATGAAGCGAACATTGCCCTTCTCTCCACCCTGGCTGGTGTGAGTTAGCAAGACTTGGGATGAGTCAGTAGATCATGCATGTCCCTCCCCACCTTCCACTAGGATGTGGGGTGGGTGGGGAAGCCCTATTGTGCTAGCAGAAGTCCTTGTGCAGGCTTCCTCTAGTGGGAACAGTTAGCTGAACCCAGACCCTAGTATTCAACTTTGGAAGGCTTGTCTATGATGGCAACTGTTTAGAGGACCTTCTCTCCACCATTCCATCACTCTTGGTTATGTCTCCTTTATGTCTTGATTATACCCACTCACCTCCTTGGGTGCTCACCTCACACACTGGGGTGGATGTCCAGTTCCTTGCCCATAATGCAATGATCTTTATCTAGCATAAGAAGCCATCTATGACCATGCACAGATGTAAACACTAAGTAGAGCTTCCAGAGCAGGCTGTGGGATCTTCATGCGCTCATGACTTCCTATCCTTCTGTTCTCAGGCACACATTCCCTCTAACCAGCCATGTTCAGTGTTCTAGACAACTCTTAAGGTTCTCGAAGCAAGTTTAGGGCAATGCCAGGTTGGGAATGGCTGAATACGATGCTGAACCTAGGTAGAGATGCAAGTGGAATTTATGTGCGGATTCTTGAAGCTTAGTTAATTTTTATGCCTGTGCCAGCCTGAATTTCTACTTGCATCATAGGTGGTTTGCCTTTCCCCCTCAGCTCTATTAGTCAATTTACTTAATAGCCTCACTTGGCATTTTCCTAAAGCTACAATTTATATAATAAACCAGTCCCTAGAAATAGAAGATAAGCTTAGTGACAGTTAACTCTGTTTCTATTTTTTCTCCACAGCCTTACAAAAGTCTCTGGGATTAAACATGACTTCTAATCTCATTTGCTGTAATTAGCATACTTATTCTTTTTTAAAAGCCAGGGTGCTGGTGTAATGTGGGGGGGAGGCCAGACTGAGGAGGGTTTTTTTGTGGGTATATTCTGCTACATCTCACTAATGCAACAGTGCATTAGCGGTGGATTTAAACTGAGCCGTCCACACATTGTTCTGCTTTATTAGTTGTTCTGTAATTGGAATTGTGTTATTGTCATCTGGAGAAGCACTCTTGCACTATAGTGCAACAATAGTAGGACAGGGGGAAAAAACCCTGGGACATTTGTGATATGAAAGGTTGCAGAACTTCAGCAGGAGTGCGGTAACTGGAAATGAGGATTTCATAGTGTGTCTGTAACTAGTACTAAATGCACTCAAAGTGTAATTTTATTACATTACAAGTTAAACAGACCAACTTTTTATTACAGTCATACCTCGGGTTACAGACGCTTCAGGTTGTGTTTTTTTGGGTTACAGGCCCTCCAAAACTCAGAATTACCGGAACAGGTTACTTCCGGGTTTGGGTGGTTGCGCATGCGCAGAAGCACCGAATTGCAACCTGCGTGTGTGCAGATGTGCCGCTGTGGGTTGCAAACATGCATCCTGCACGGATCACATTCGTAACCTGAGTGTCCACTGTATTATTATTATTATTACTACCTCTTAAAATAAGGCAGAATTTCTCATTTGTGAACTTTTTAATTCAAGAGCTGCTATGCCGAATGATCAGCGTTTTCACCAAATGAGAGACAGAGAGCAGTAACTGGCATCCCCCCCCCCATGCAGAGTTGCTTACATGCACATTTTATGCAGTGATTTTCACTCATTTTTTAAATTGTTATATGTATTAAGCTTTCAAAACATGTTTTTTTATATATATACAGGGTGAGTCCTTTAAAAGTGGCCCCGTGGATACAGAGTACACATGTTCCACAGAGCCTCTTTTAAAAGACTCACCCTATATATATACAGTAGAGATATTCAGAAAGAAAGAACACCCACAATAGAGGACCGATTACTATAAGGAAGATTGTATGAAGAAAATGCTTTGCTTTTTAGCCTGGGACAAGTACTATTCACCCAAATATAAGCCGCTCCCGCAAATAAGCCACAATATCCAGACTGCTGCCGGGGGGAGGGAGGAGCTGCGCCACTTTGCTGGCAGCATAAGATCACAAATATAAGCCACATTTTAACTTTTCACTGTCGGAATTTGGGGGGGGGGGGAGTGCGGCTTATATTCAGGCCAATACGGTATACTAGTTCACTGTGTCTCAGTTTCCTATGTAACCTGTTTCTCTTTTGTTCCAGGGAATTGGCACATATATAGCGAACACGAATGGTACCACTTTCCATATGCATAGTTATAATCAGATATATTAAATTTTAGGTGCTTACCAAGCAGTTATGAAGTCAGATTAAAGGATAGGATGCGTATAAAACGGACCAACGGACCAGCAACCTTTAAAAACTCCTTAACTGTGACAAAATATTTTGGTCAGGAGGCCTGAATTCATCCAGACAGACAAGTCTGAAGAGTGTTTCCTGAGGATCTGGCTCTAGTTCTTTAAATGTAGTGGCTTAACATTTTGATTTTTTTTTTTTAAACCAAAACTTGAAAATAAGGGCACCTCTGGATTGTAGTCTAAGTAAATAAAAAAATAAGCTTACAAAATTGGGAGGATTTGGGAGGAGGGTGAAGATGGGGAGCAGAGATGTTCATCTCTACTGTTAAAACTATTGTTATACCTTTTTGAATTCAAAAGCTGGAGATAAGCTATCAAGGGGAATATAACATTTTTATTATATTTTTTAAAAACACATTCAAATTCTTGGGCAGTGAAATAGACCCACATCTGAAGAGCCACTCTGAGGGAAATAACAAAGAAACACTTCTTGTGCAACCCCACCACTGATTCTTCAACTTATTGTGCAGAGAGGCCATTTGCTTTCGCTTTTTCTACACAAATCAGGATTCAGCTTGGAGATTTATGCAAATACTTTTGACAGCATTCTGGAAAACACACTCTGGTGTATTTTGCAGTGAAATTAAGCCTTCATGGCAAGAGCCCTCCAGTCAGCATCTGCTAGTAAATGTTGCTGAGTAGGCTGGGGGATGCAGATTTTGTGTACGTTTTAGCAAAAACGACACTTAGTGAGTATGCATCATAGCAAGCGCATCAAGCAAGGACCGGAAAGCAGAATTATACCCGGACCATTATAAAATATCCAAACATGAAAACGCCACCAGGAATTTTTCGATAAATTATTGACTGTGTGTGCTCAAGACTATGTACAATCAGGAGGCTAGTATTTCAAAAGGAGGCAATGTTACTACTGAGCGGCAAAGAAAAAAAATATTGAGGAGAAAAACATTTGAATCAGCAACGCAACTAGACTATTTTAATGTTCCAAATGGTGGGAACTTCAGCTGGGCTACTGAAGATATCCACTGTCAAAAGAGGATTCCACTTGACTAGATAACAAGGCAAT